GATTAATTTCAGTTCATATCTCAACAAACATGGCATAATTTCTAGGTTTATGATATTGTTTTCAGAGGTTATCAGATAGAACTCTTTGCAGGAGTATTAGAGTTATGGTTAGTGATTCAAAATCTGTTTTTTTTTTTCTTTTTTATCAGATTAATTGTATAATTAATTTAGAAAGTTATCAAAGTGCTGATTTAAGAGCCATCTCCTAAATACCTTCTTTGCAATGAATGGATTCCAGTGGAAGTAATTCATATTTTGATGGTTATAACGTGGACGAAAATGTTGATTTATTACTGAAGTCCATGCTTTTTTTCGCAAAATTCATTTGTTCCCAAAGATGATCCAGTTCTCATATCAACGAAGATAAGTATAGTGGTAATTATGGAGCTTATGTCCTGTAAACCAAAAGTGTTCTGGCTGCCTAAATTTTATCATATAAAAGTGCTTTTCTTTTTGTTTTGCTTTGTTAGGAAAAAGAAAAGAAAAGATGTAAAAGTGATTAATAAAACTTTATGAATTACATCATGATTATTGATAAGCTGCTTGAAGTTTTCCAACTGGCAGCTTATGTTGTTGAACGCTTCTGATCAAATTTTGTTGCCATCTTTCAATTTGATTACGGATGGTACTATTTAAATAGAGTGCTGCTTGTAATTAGCTAGATGGACCTTGAACTAGCATACATGGGATCTTTTGTTGGTTTAAATTTCTTGCAGGTGATCTGGAATCATTTTGCTTGAGTTTAAGTTTGTACGATAATGGCAAACAATTGCATACATGTAGGTGACTTCAAAAATCTTTCCTTAAATACGAAGAAAGGAGTTGAAGGTGGCAAGAATCTGGTTGTTTGCTTTGGGGAGATGTTGATTGATTTTGTCCCAACAGTCGGTGGGGTTTCACTGGCTGAAGCACCCGCTTTCAAGAAGGCTCCTGGTGGAGCTCCTGCTAATGTGGCAGTTGGTATTTCTAGACTTGGAGGTTCATCTGCTTTTATAGGCAAGGTGCATTTGGAAGCTCTGTCTCATTAGATTTCAATTAGTTGTCTAACTGTACATATTAATTTTTTCTGCTTGGAAAACGTGGATCATTTAAGTACTTTTCGCTGTGAAGCAAAGATATTTTGCACATGGTTTGGCAATGAGCAAAGACAGGTTGCACATGGAGAAAACTTTCTCCTTTCCAGTCCCCTCCTCAAAACTCTAAACTTTTCTATATCAGGTAGGTGATGATGAGTTTGGCTACATGTTAGCTGACATTCTAAAGCAAAACAATGTCAACAATTCTGGTGTGAGATTTGAGCAAAATGCAAGGACTGCCCTGGCTTTTGTTACACTACGAGCTGATGGTGAACGTGAGTTCCTGTTTTTTCGACATCCAAGTGCTGACATGCTTCTCCATGAGTCAGACTTGACATAAATCTCATTAAGGAGGTTGGTTCTCTCTTATTAGGAAATTATGAGTTTTATTGATATCAGCAGAATGTTTTATCCATATGAATTCTATTTGATTGCAGCAAGCATCTTTCATTATGGCTCTATTAGTTTGATTGATGAACCATGCAAATCAGCTCACCTTGCTGCAATGA